AACAGAATGCTGCACAAGTTGTTTTACACTTTCTGAACCAGTGTCCTCCTCCGGCACCCAGTTATCAGGATTATATGGAACAATGCAAGAAGCTCACCTCAGGACAGGATCAACCGTCAGAATCCATTGCTACAGAGGCATCTACCACTGCAGTTACTACTACAAGTAAGAATTCCTCGATTTTAAATTACGAAACAACAGTATGACTTGGTTTTAAACTCTTTAGTAAAGCAATGATTCTCACAGGTGATCTGTAATTTCAACAATTGCAGAAAGAAATCCTGAAAAATTCCAGTATTTGATGTGATTCAAACCCATGCTTCCCCCCAATTACCTGTTGTGTGGTAGAATCAACTGAGCTACCAAGCCTCACGTTGGGAGTGAGGCAAATTTTAGAGGGTTCTTTTTTCCCGTGAAGGAATCTGGTTTAAACTTTTTTATTTTCATAAAAGCAATTCGACCCACAGCTTAATTTGTTACTACATAACTTTGATATCACATCCTTCTATGTAATTGACGACAAGCTGTCAATGAACAACAGTCACGAGAAATGTTTACTCCATGGTTGCAGTACATCTGAAAAAGCTGCAGGTATTGATGCTATTTGATAACTTGCCACCATGCATGCTCAGGTCTCCTCGTTCGTTGAAAATTCCCATTATTTGGAGCCAATAAATGTTAAAAGTAGGAGCAGTCGAGAGTAGGAAAATACCATATGGGCAGGAGTAAACTAAATGTCAAAAAGGATGAAGAAGACTATCACGGATTTCGACTAGCCATGTTGGAAAATTTAAGTCGAATCTATACAAACCATACCGAAGCTCTTCTGTGGTATGCACACAAGAGACTCACGTAGCCAACGCACCTGTCATGTGTTGCCTAGGTGTCCTCATGTGTCAAACACATGCAAAGGACGTAACAGAAAATAGTCACTTGCGACACGTCTCTAGTCTTGCTGTGTTTTTCTTTTTTTTTTTTCTTTTGCAAATGCAAAATTTTCCTGGGGTTAAATTAACTTGTTGATGGTATTTCTCTATTCATGCTACGAAAAGCACTGCATGTCTCCATACTCCACTTGCGCTGTATTTTTAAGTCCTTTTCCTCTTTTCCCGTTGCCGCCTTTACCTTGAGTTATAATTATGATGAAATCTTGTCCCAGCGACGTGAGAAATTGGGACTAAGCCATATTGATCTTCGACTGGTAACCAAAATTGTTTTCTAACCTTTTCCCAGTAGTTTGTAAATGTGACTGTTTCATCCCTGTCATATGTCCCGCCTCACGTCTCTGTTGCGCGTCTCCTCAGTGTGCTCTACACGTGGTGTTGTCTCTGTCACGTCTGTCACGTCTGTCACGTGTCTATGCATCATGGCCTCTTTCCGTTCAGCCGGAGGAAAACATTTTGCGTCCACTCCCCATTGCCCAAGGCTATAGCGTAGTGTTATGGGCCAGGTACTTTGTCTTCATGGTATCCCATTCCATATATACATGGATACCGGCAAACTGTGAAAGTTACCTGTCGGAATGCTTCGGGGTAACCTGCATCAGACTTCTCATTACAAGGGGAGTGGCATAAATCTTGCTATAACCCCGCACAATGGGCCACCTGGTGCAAGTGACGACATTTATTCTCACCTTCAGGTCTTCGCTGTTATGTCACTGCGAACGAGTGGAAACGTATTGCGCGTGCCTTGATAATGAGACAAATGCAATGCTCTCCTTCGCTTGCATGAGGAAATTTGATCGAGTGGAGACGTAGGGCGTGTGTCTAGACAACGAGACAAAAGCGATGCTTTCCTTCGCTTTTATGAGGAGATTTGATTGAGTGGAGACGTAGGGCGCGTGTCTAGACAATTAGGCAGATGCAATGCTCTCCATCGCTTGCAAGAGAAGATTTGATTGAGTGGAAAGGTAGGGCGCGTATCTTGATAATTAAACAAATGCAATGCTCTCCTTGCTCGCAGGAGGCAGGTGGACTTGCTGTTCATTCGCTTCACCCCGCTGAGTTCAGCGGTATATCTTCGCACGTGACTTGCAACCAGTGGGCGTGTATTGTCAAGAGTGACATTTTAGCAATTTTTTCGATGACTGGTTAATCAAGTTTGTATCAAAACGATTTGAGCTCGCCTTAATCTGATCCCCCCTCACCTTAAATACCTCCTAGACGTGAAAGCAATGCCTCAACAGTAATTAAATGCCGGTGTTGAGTGCCTTTCGTTTGTATGTGAATTGACAAATGTTGTGTCGAAGTCAGGAGTTAATCCCAGACAACAGTAGTAACACATTTTTTCAAAAAGCATGAAGTGCTGGAAATAGAAAATGCTGCTATCTTGAAATGTCTAAGAAAAGAAATTGAACCGAGGTAATACGGAAGGTTTGAAAGATGAAATTGAGACTTATAGTTCATTTATCATCCCTGAAGTCGTTTTGTTGTGTTCAAAGTTTTTCTTACCTGGTGTGGCGTATCTTCTTAATCCTTCCAACCTTGTTGATTTACTTGTAATTCCAAACGGTATTTCAGAATACGGAGATTTGCGACATAAACCGAGGACCATAGCCAATTTTTTGCACAGCCTAGATTTAGATTCTTATCTTTGTCAGACAATTGTAAAGTTGCAAGTAAACTTGACCCCCAGACAGGCTTCTTCAGCTTATCGCGTGGCCATAATACTTATTGTCTAAAACCTTGTCTGACCTAAGCAGGGTTCGCGACGATTTATCTTATTTGAGACGGAAGCGTTAAACACCCACAAATCAAAGTTACTATCAAGCAAACTTTGTAGCAAGATACTCCAGTTAAATTTTACCTTGTTTGAGATTTATCCGTGGGTACAGAGTTCATAATTGTATTGCCAACGTATTCAGTTGTTTTAAGAAGTGTTTTAACAAAGGAAGCTTTCATTTGTCCGATCCATGGCTACTTCAATGACACGCTTCCGACTGCGAGGTGTCGGGTTACCTTGCGGTGCTCATTTGCAACAGCACATTTTAATCCACTCTTATCTTCAATCCAGGAGAGCATATCTTGGAAGATCTACTTAAAGTTGTTAGTTTTGCAGTACGAAAGCCTCGGTACGAGCCCTTTACATTAGTTTCTAGACATTAACATTTGACCTTCTCTACTTTTCGCGCGTCTCTTATGTCTGTCTGATGGATGAAGTAGACGTTAATGAGATGTACTAATTCAACTGCCATTATGTGGATTTGGAATTTCCGGTATTGGTCGCAAAAATATCACGTTTTTACGCTAATAGCCGGATGTTCTTGTTAATCAAGGGGCGTTTGTAATTTCCGATCCAGAGTCAATTGGAAAATTGAAGCAAAATTATTTGCCCTGGTTAAGTTGCAGTCGTTCATTATTGCTGACAAGGTCTATTATGGGATATGAACAGGGTACCCAACCCAACAAACGCATACTCACAGGAATCTCAACCCCAATTTCCGAGCACAACTTGTTATATTCCAGCTTAAAAAGCGCGGATTATTGGCTCTTGCCGAGTTATTTTAAGATTTTCTTGATTTTTATCCTAAATTGACGCATAAAAGAAGGTGGTCTGACGGAAATTTTTCGATCTCTCATATTTGTGTCGTAACTTTGAAGCAATCTCTGAGTCGTTTCTTACGGTGTTCATTGTCGAAACACCTGTTGCAACGAAAATAGTTAATCCAATTTGGACCGCAAGACGAGGTAATTTTCCGGTTGCACCAAGGTCCAATTTCATGCGGTTTTAAGGCTCTTTGCCCTATCGCTTTTTAAGTGCCAAAAGCATTAAAAGTGGCTACTTATGATTTTTTCTTTATTATAATTGTTTTTATTAATGATCTTGTTATTATTAAAATTGATGCTGTCCTTGTTATTACTATTATTGTTATTATTATCATTATTATTATTATTATTATTATTATTATTATTATTATTTTAACACTAGTTGACCGATTTTAACGAGTGGTTTAGACGCCTTACAACAAGCATGCGCAGTACATGAAGTCATGGCAAGATCTGCTTGGCTTTGATCTCAAGTTTAATCTCCAGTGAAAAACAACCATCCTCAACTGACAACCCGATCACCTCGGAAATCTCAGCCATCGGAGCTGACATATCTGATCGAAATTCGTGAGCCAGTGGGGACAAACCACTTTGGTTCATCCAAATAAAAAAAATCGGCACTGAGAACTGAATGTAGCTTTACGTGTTAATCCTCCGTACACATAGCAAATGGACTGCGAAACAAGAAACAGAGCCACAAATTAAACCATTTGAAGGCGTGTTATTCGTTGAGTTTTGTCCTTCGCGTTTTTTTTTCTTTTTCAACTCAAATCACCACTACCCAACTCTCCGTGTTATTCTTGATTCTGCTCTATTCCACTCATAAGTCCAAGTATAAAGTCTTGCATTTTCACCACAGTAGTTTTCCTCTTAACATTTCTTTGCCTTTTCGATTTTCAGTAAACGCAGCAGTAGTGCAACCGATCTCCACATCCACAGCGCCCAACCCTTTCGTACCTACAGACCAGAACAATTCCGACCCTACAGCCTCAGAGACTCTTAATGCAGACGTAGCCAAACCAACCATTACTTTCACGTCGCACAAAAACAAACTGCAAGAATACTGCCAGAAGTCCAAGATAGAACTACCTGTTTACTCCTGTCAAAGGGAAAATGGCGTCTTTACTTGTACGGTTCATGTCGCTGGACGATCGTTTTCCAGTAACGGCTGTAACACTAAGAAAGGCTCAGAGCAGACTGCGGCCAACATAGCGCTGAAAGCTTTGGGACTTATTTAACACGGTTTGTACGCAGTTTTGACACATTTCTATTGCGGGCGTAGTCGAGGTTTGGGCACAGGAATGCACAAGGTATGAAAAATAATTTAAGACCATGATGGAAATTTATTTTATATCCATTACCTTGGTGTCAATGGGACGCAAGAGACGTTGGTCAGGTTTTTACCTCCATGGAGTGTTCGGCTAAGAAAAGTCTATGAAATGACAAGCGCTTTGTTCGGGCGACATGTTGGACAGAGCGGGTGCCCCCTGCAGGAGTCTTCCAAGGACTTTCGGCACAGCACCCGGAGCGATGTCGGGTTCGCTCGGGTTTACGGTCGGTAACCAACATGGTGCCCGAACGAGATGTTATCATCGCATTAAGTATTAGTTTGTCGTTATTTGCAACGTCGAACCTTAACTAATGACTCAGTTTCTTGTAGAATTTTATTTGATTAGACAGAAGCACTCGTGATTGAACGTTTGCGAGACTATGATCGGACTCATTAGCATTTTAATGAGAAACTCTCATTAAACGAACTGGATTAAAAACTAGGCTGCCACAGTTACATCTGTCGTGTTGTACTATGTGACGGAATACATAAGGAGAAACTGATATACAACATTATTTTACTGGTTATAGTTTTTTTTTATTCACTTTGTCTTTGAAATTATAACACCTGGAACGGTCAACTGTAAGGTACCAGAAAGATTCTTCTTGTCCTACAACATGTTGTTTTAGCCGTCGCGCTAAAAAATTTAAGGGTTTTACAACATCGTCGACAGATATCTTGACTTGCCTAAAATATTCTCTTATCGTTCGTTTCGTGAAACTAATGTCAGAATCGGGTGTTTAAAGGCTTTTAAATTGTCTCAAAGTTAAATGTATGAAAAGGAAAATCAAATGAAGTAGTTTTCTAGAGGAATCGGCGAAGCTAGACCTCCTTTTTGGTCGAGAGTTGTAACCATACTAGTTGTTGTAAATAAATGCGTTAAGTGTTTGAAAGTGTAGCGGTTGACCTCGCGAGTGACTTCGGATCTGGGAGCTTTGTGCGTGCATTCTGGCGCCTATTCGCGCGTGTCGCGTGTCGCGCGTGGCACGCGGAGCACTAGAAACGAGTCGATTACTACGAATCCTTACTGTTGCCCAGAAACAATATGATCTCGAACAAAATTAACTCAGATTTGTTTCTCTTTGTGCCATGCTCGTGACAAGTGTGTAGAAGGAAATTTTCCTTTCTTTCACAATCAAGGGTAAATTGTATTCATCGTCTTTTATCGTTTCTTAATATAATTTTCTTTTCTAGTCTTTAACTTTCGAGTAAAAATTGGTTTTTCACCTTTATTGAGTACATGCTGTAGAAAGTGCTTGATCCTAACATAAAACGAATGCGTGACAACTACAATTGGAAATAAGTTTTCGTTCGCGTTAAGCTTATATTTTACCATGCCAATCTTCGCGTCAATTTATATCGTGAAACTTTTTTTTTATTATAAATGACTCTGACTGGGTCAAAATAAAAATATTTATTCACCTACTGTTTCACAAAGAAAACCGAATGTCGTCAACCGAGGAGAAGTGACGCACTTTTGAAACAATGAGGAAAAAACGCACCATTTTCAAATGCATTTTGGTTTTTTTGTTTGACTGAGTTGCATTGTATGCCAAAAATACAAACTTCGTGACGACAAGGTATCACGGCGTGCATTGCCCACGCTGTTTTGATCCTTTTTTTTTTTTTTTTTTTTTTTTTTTTTTTTAGTTGTGAACTTCGTTTTTCCTTCTTACTGAAATAGTCCAGTTCCATCTCTCCTACATATTGCAAGAGTTATTTCAAGAATAAGAACGAAACATTGAATTGGACTCAGATCAATTCTTACAGAATAGCCCTTTTCACAGAAATCATTTCGACACTTTGTTCACTTGCTCCGACTGTCAGGTGAACCGTTTACACTGTCAAAACTCGACGAGTTAACTTTTCATCCGTCACTTTCTGCCATTAAAATCTCGCTACATGTTTATTCATTTGTTACCATTCTCAGGAACACACTGGTTGAATCGAGTCAACACTGACATATGTAAACTTCCATCCGGCGGATTTTTCTCCGTTTGTCGCAAAGGATGAAGATAATTCTCCTTTTTCGACTCCTCTTATGATTTTATTTACTTTCCTTTGTTACCTTTCTAAATCCTCCCTTTAATCTCCGAAATTTCTTTACGAATTTCTATTTTCCTATCGTTTGTTTTTATTAATGGTAATCTTTTTCTAGCCTTGACTTTTTGAGCGCTTAGGATCACATGCAACAGGGGTCAAATTGAAAGAATTTTGAAAAATAGTTGTGTATATATCATTACCATTTCTCTCGAAAATTCATGAAAAAAAAAACAGACAATAAATAAAAACACTCAGTCCATAGCTTTATTGTATGAATTGCTCTGAACATAAACAACGAAAAAACTTCATTTAAAAATTTACATTCTTAAACAAACTTTTTTGTAACGAGGCGCAACCTTTGTTCTCGGCCAAACAGTTTGATGTTTTTCTTTTAATTGAACCTACAGATTGCAGCAGTTGTTTGCTATTTTTGTACCAATCTTGTTAACTTGTAGACTCGTGGACATTTTCAATCAGTTCGTGCCATTGTTCCGCCCACGGAAAAGGTGGAAACTTTAACAGTTTCCACTTAACCATACTTTAGGCCATCATCTGGAGCTAAGGACAAAATTATCGAGTTTGTCTAATTACATATTTATGATGTCGCTTTCAAAGGTGAAAGAGTCAAAATTAAAAACTAATTATTTCAAAACATGTCTCAAGGAGATTTCAATTTCACAGAAAGAATTTAAAAGAATTGAAGAAAATATGTAGCCGTAAAATCTTCGCAACAGGAGGCGAAGCAATAACTTTTCATAACCTAACGATGGTGCGCGCCCGTGAGACCAGACGCGTGGGGCGTTTGCCCATGCTCTTTGGTCATGTTTGGCACACGTCTTGCATGCTATCAGGATCACAAGACCAAGTGCGCTGCGTGCAAAGAGAGACGACAAAAAAACATTCTTTTTTCGAGACTTGACATAAAGTTTGATTCTTGTGGGCGACCAAGTTGCTTCCCTAAGGTGGTACAGATACTTATTTGCGTCTGTATTTAAACGAGTCAAGGGTATTTGCCTAAAATGGTTTTAGATGAGCTTGATACCTTAGGAGGACATTTTTCGTGTGATTTTTAGAGACAACCTTTGAAGATCTACGTGATTCCTTTGTCCCTTTCATGCCAAATGTGTGTTAGTGGGGAGGGGAGGGGATGTTCAGCACACTTTTCGCCACCCCACCAGCCCACTCAACCAGTAAAGTAAATGGAAGCGTTATTTTCAGTTCGTCTTTCCGCGTGACTTTAGTACTTTGAAATGCCAGGTACGTTCAGTGTATTCAAGTGTGTTCATTGTGTCATGCGAAGTCTTGTATACGAGGAGGTTATAATTAGCACAGCTTGTCTCCTGCACTTCTCGAGGTCGACCCGCTCAGTTTTTTTTTTTCCCTCAAAAAAACCGAAAAATAGGGCGCAGTTCAGTCGCAACTCTCCAAGGAAACATTTTTTTCAACACAGAAAAGATACCAAAGTTGAAACAACAACCACAACATCGCGCATGTTGTTTTGTAGTTCGCCTTTATAGGGCATTTTCCTTTCAGGTAGATCTCGTTTATCATTTGTGAAACATGAAACTCTGTTAGAATTTTACTAAGAATGTCGTTGAAATTGATGTTACTCGTTTTATTTCCTCTGGATTTCAATGCAAAAATGTGAATGACTTGGTATGTTTTCATTAAGACAGACGATGTGTGATAGTCTCTTTTTTGATTTAACTTATGTAGTTTTTTCGTTGGAAGACGAAGTCCAGTTTAGTTTCGTTTCAATTGTTGATATCACAAGCATTTATACCACGGGTGTATATGTCATGTGTTTCGTGAGGAATTCGTTTTGAGGGGAGGAACCCTCGTCAATTCTTCTTGAAATGCTCAGGATATGTCGCTTTATGTTCAACTATCGGGAATTCCACGAAACTTTCCGAACAATGATTCTTACGGCAATGGCAATGCTTCGTCATTCTCATGAAGGAAGACTCCATTCCCTTTTTTTTCCCACCGCCTCCGCGCCGGATTAAAGAGCGTAAAGTGCTGCCGATGAAAATTAGGTTTTGTATAATTAGTTGGAAGCTACGCGTGGGTGACAGATCGATAGTTTCGACAAGAAACAATCGATCTCTCGCCTAGCATACTACCTTGGAAACAGAAGAGCTTGGAGTAACCAAGTGAATTTACTGCATTCTGAGAATGAATGAATAAACTAAACCGACTTGGGCAACAGAAAAAAAAAATCGTTTCCAGTTATGTAAGTTGCTAGTGAGTTGTTGCTAAAATAGTGAGCGCTCACCTATACATGTTTTGTGTGGTAGCTGCATAAAACAATAATGAAAACATGTTTACAGACAAGCAAAATCTGAACAAAGTTTAAAATGTCAGTATCCGAAAAGTAGCCCGAAGTTAGTGTTTATCGAGTAAAGTCGGTGACATTCGGCCTTCCTTTGAAAGTGTTCTCTTAAGTACTCGCTATTTTCGTTTGAACTGTTGCGTGTCACCTCAGAACAAACCGGTTTTGTTTCTTCCCCCGTAGGTAAACAGTGCACTTAATTTATTCAAGAGCTGTGTTCCTGAAGGAAGTTAAATCCCTAACGACCCGATCTCGCAAGGAAAAATCCGCGCTATTGTTAACTTCTTGCAAATAATCTTCGCATCTTTAGTTTCCAGCCAGGCCAAAGTTATCTGTCTCCAAAGCACACAGTGTGCAGTATACCACTGTTTTTTTTTTTCTTCTCAGCCACGCTAACTGATTTTATGTCGTACTACAGGAAGGCAGTACTGTCACATAAGATTTATATTTCCTTCTTAATCGTAGTGTTTGGTCCTAATTTCTGACGCTCATAGGAGTTAAATGGGGTCTTAATCATAACAAGGAGGGTCTTTTTTTGCAATTCCTTTTGAAATTAACCTTAGTTGACATTCTGTTCCCTGGTCGTTAGCGTAGAAAAGAAAAGTTTCTAATGAATCTTCTTTGTTTTTTGAGTAGTCTCCTAAGACTCCCATCGCTTGTGTCGACAGCTCACGTGTGAAACATAAATAATTATTTCGTGTACTCCTTTTTAGCAGTTTTTTTTTTATATCAAACGCCCTTGGCTATAAGTGTAAAAAGTCTTTTTTTTTTTGCGGCGCGTTCTATAAAGGCTGTGGTAGATGTAAAAAAGAATTATTTCATACGAATCACAACTTACTTCTCATATTTGTTTAGCTTTACAGGCGGATTTATTGAGCTAATAGTAACTCGAGGTTACGAACTTGCTTGTGAAACATTCTGCATTGGTTATTCGTTTTAAGGGTAAAAGAAAGATTTACTTGATATCTCCGAATTTTTTGGCGCTCCAGAAAACTATATTCAAAGAAGAATTCTTAACAGGGTTCTATTATCGCAAATTTTTAAGAGGATATTCGATCAAATAGTTCATTCAGTTTGATTTTTTATGCCCAAGTCTTGTCTGGTTTAATGAATGTTCATAAGTTTTTCTTGTCCTTTAAGGCATCTCGCATGTAAATTGGCGTGGGAGTTTTAAGACACTGAACTTTTGGTTTTGTTTTCGCGAAAAAACGGAATCTTCGAAGTAGAGATGATTTGGAGGGTTTTAACCTCGATCAGAGCTGTACTGAGATGTAATATCGGTGTACACTGATGTATCGCACCACAGCTTAAAGTGCCTTTCTAATAATTTAATCTTTAAAAGCACTATTGAATATCGTTGTTGTTTCAAGGGGGAATTTAGAGATCGTAAACACCCTCATCGCGGGGAATATCAGAAACTGTAGTATTTAATCTTACAAGAAAAATAATACGATGATCCAGATGAAGACAATTCCGGCAGCTAGTTATTTCCGTTCGTCATCAGTGGTGAGAAGTTAGTTTTGAAATTGTAATTAATCAGTGTATTTCTTGAATATTGCTATATTTCGCCCGTAACTCGGAAGTGCGTGTTAAAGGTTGGAGAGATTGCGTGCGTGAAATTTTATGGAAATTTTCTCGCAAAGCTAATATAGCAGCCATAAAGTTCGCGTGAATTCAGGGAATGTTTCCTTCATTAAGGATCTATATTTGCGCGCTTTTTTTGTTTAGAAGGATTATTGAATGAAAAGCTTTCAAGGTATCATCGTACCGGCTTTCTGCTAGATCTTGAGTCCTGATAATGTGAAATCCGTGAGTTTCGTGTTTATGTTTCACCTTGGGTTGTACTACATGCGTTGTAGTTGGTCAAAATGTTCGAGTATTGGGCCAATGGCGCGAAGTTATGCTTCGGCTTACAAAGAAAGCTTTTCTAGAAAGTACCGTTTCAATTTATTTTCCCGATCGGAAATAGCTCTTCAAGTATTAGTTTATTTCACTTACTTTCCTTACAAATAACCAACGCAGCGTGTCTCGCCTTGCGCTTGAAGAGATGTTGTATTCGAATCAATATTCATTCCCAATTCCTGGTCGCTGCAAGTGTTATGACAGAAATTTGGGGTTTTTCGCTTATTTATCAAGTAACGTTCTTAAAACCTGTGATAACAGGTGTTACCTACCATTGCACTTAATCTTCTCGAAAAACTGTGGAGAAAAGCATTACAAAACAACAATAAGAGGAAGGACTGTACCACAGGCGAATTCTTTAGTAACGGCAATTTACTCTGGGCACGAAACTCATCCTCTGCGATTTTAGAGCAACTAAGGCAAACAGAAATTAAGAGTAATAGTCATGCCTGGTTAGAAATTTCAAGGTGAGAATGCGATAGAAAAAGAGCACAAGTGACTGTTGTACGTGTTTTTAAAAAAACCGTGGTTGTATTTATGCAAGATTAAGGTGGATATGTGCCTATTCTGGCATCGGACCAGTTTTAGGCCAGTTCAGGTAAATGATGTGATAAACAGAGACACTCGCCCTTCTCCTATCTGTCAAATTTTACTAACATCATCAGTGCCAGAAAGGCCAATTAAAATTTAAAAGCGTCGTTTGTGAGAAAACAGCTCGAGCTCGTCATTAAGCGTTCTTTTCGTAGACGCGCCAACGTTGTTTATTCTCAAATAGCGGAGAGGGTAACTTCGTTGCCCGGGTTAAAACTCGTCTCTAGCGAGAAAACTGTTTTAGTCAGAATTCACTCAAGCGTGGTAATTATTCCAAAGCCACGTGGCATGTGGGCCAGCCCCCGTTTCTTCTTTCAGCCAATCAGCTACCAGTATTTGCCGGTATCTTTAGTGACATGTGACTAGACCCGGCTGGTTTTCTGTTCCCACTCACACTTACTCAAGAACAACATTTCATTGATTCGTTCCCTATGCAAGGGAAAACATGGGCTCTCCCGAGCATTTGGTGTGTTTTCACTGCACTGTCACAAGATTGCCGTCAGGGGAATCGGACGCCGAGGAGGAAACCATCTCAGAGATTTCGTGGGTTGTCGTCGACGTGAAATCCAATCAGGTAAAAAAAATTTTCTTGCGGTAACTTGTTATGGATTGTGTAAGCTACGTTGGGGTTTCCCTTGTCGGACGCGAGAAAAATTTTCTCAAGGGCTCTGGGGGCGATACGGAGTTAGAACAATATATTGTTGATTTTTATCCTAACGCTGTGTTCATTTATGCCGAATTAGCCTGGTTCCGTGCATAGATGTGTTGTGAAATCGGGCCTGTCTGGAGCGAACGAAGCGTTAAAACAACCCACCAACAAATCGCTTGTGACCAGTGAAGCTCAACAGCTCGGGGACGCGTTAGAAAAGGTAACGTTACCAGTAGTGTGTATTTAATCCATCATTTCCGTTCACCCTTTGTTCGATCAACAACAAGACACGAAAAATGTCGATGTTAAAATACTCCGTTCTCTATTGCTGCTGACGTTATCCCGTCTTCGGAAGAGCGCTTTAAGGCCGAGGAACAGAGGAGGCGAATTTTCAAGACGTGCATGTCATGTAAAATTCATACATGTTTCATTGGCGTGTTGTGATCGCTTGAACAGTCCTCAATCACATAGACACAATGACAACCAGCAAAGGCCGAAGAAGTTTCACCAAATTTATGTTTTGATCGCTCGACGGGGTAGGAGAATACATGCTTTTTGTACATTCGGCATTTCAAATGTGATCTCCCTGGTAAACAGGGGAGACGGGTCACACGACAGGAATTGGCCGCGAGTTTAATTCAAGACGGTGCCGTTCGAAATTTAATTCTCGAAAGAAGTAGAAATAAAATATCTATATAACCGCGCTGAAATGAAATATTAAAAAGGCAAACAGTTAATTCTAACAAGCTTTTATTCTTGAGGTTTTTGCGAAGTAAATATGTCCAAGATCAGAGATTGTATCGTTGGTTGCGGCACCAGGGCAAGTGGGAATGCGACGCAAGTGATGTACGTAAGGGGCCTACTTTCTCTCGCCCAAGACAACACTGTGTGTATCGGATATTCCAAAAAAAATTTGTAAATATTCTTATCTGGTCTTTTGTTGAACTTTCGTATACTTGTGTGGCCATGCATATTCCCATAGTTTCCGAGTCGCCAGGCGTCTGTTTGTTATAAATCTCGGTTTTTATTTTACATTCTCTCTCTAAAACCCCCCTACGCAAGAGATATTATTTTCTCTACCGCTTTCGTATACAATATTCATGATCCTTATCGGCAGTTTAGAAAGAAAGTGTTAATACAGGTCTCTCTTTGGGCCAATGAAATATTTGCTCGTACAAATTCGTGTTTGGATGATTTTTTTGTCGTTTCCCCGGAAATGTAGGGAAACCCAAGATTTAAAAGTGCTCACAAGGTTGGATAGAAATGGTTCCCAAGGTTAAAAACTGAAGATTCGCATCGGGTCAAGAACTGAAGAACACCTCCACCGATCGTTCGATATCATGTGTTTCCCTCGCGATCGCGTCTAATCTCGTCCCAAAATAAATCTCAAGTCTTAACTGATTGTTTCTGGAGTGTCACGTAAATGCCCGTCCGCCTATTAGCCCAAAACAACACTTTCCTCTCGCACGCGTGTTTTTAAGTCTTAATTGACTAAATTCTCGTTAGGAAAATGCAATCAAGTAATCTATGAGGATTTTTTAATCGCTTGGTTGCCGCGTGCTAAAAAATTTGCATCGGACCGAAACATTAGTGATCTCAAATGCTTGAAGGGGCGGCTGTATTGTTTTGTGAACAAAACCTAGACACTTCTATTTCCCTTTGGTATTCTTTAAAGAACAACAAGAATGTGCGGACGTCCAGGTTCTTCTGTAAATAGCGCACTGCGTGAAATTTCTTTGTCCCGCCATTGTTTTGTGACTGCAATTGTGCCTAACAGGAAACCCCTTAAAATATGTCAACATGGAGTGATTGGCAGCTAGTCTTGTCAGGGAGAAGAGGCTATTGGTTGCTTGTGTTGATATATCAGTGTTTCTTCGTTGTGTTTCTTTTGTCCCAAAATATGCTGAAGAACTTTGTGTGATGTGATTAATTTTTCACCAGCTCATTCTAATTTGGCACAGGTTTTATCTTCTCAGAATGACTAAACCTAAATTTTATTGCTATAAGACCTAATTTATAATTAATTTTAAGGAAATTGTTTTACTTTATCTATTTTTTATTGCTTTGCATTTCTATATTTTGACATCTGCAAAACGTTTCTTCTGTTAATGATTAAAAACTCTGATAGTGATATCCTTTACCAAATGAATGATAGTCAGCTGTAAATGAAAAGCCTTGGCTTATTTCCATAATATGTAGACATCTCGTCTGTGGAAATAATTTTACACCTCTGAATAGTTGAAGGCCCAGTTTGTTTCACAAATGCATTTAAATGCAGACTAGTATCTCTTTTGGGTCCATTTACAACATCTCTATCAACATTTTGTTGTCTTGTATTCATTGCAAATGAAATTCCCTTTTCTTGGCTGACCAGCTAAAGTTGCTGCCATATTCCTTCTTAAATTATCACCATAGTAATCTTCGCTTAATATTTGAAATATGTGAATATCTAAAAAAAAAAAAAATCCAGAAAGAGGTTATAGTTCTCACCTTATTGAAGTCCACTCATAATGAACTATTGTAGTTTGTGTAACAATGTGATTGCTAGTGATGTAAATTTTTATGTTCAAATGGAGACTCCTTGTTGCTTGGTTTTCCATTGGCTCCTTGTTCAAAAGGATACTGTGGTGTAATTTGTTTCTTTTTTACAGCTGTGTTTGGGGCATTTTAATCCAGACTGTTTCAGAAAGCTGCTCCCTTTCCACAGTTCTAATCGGAGCATTTTGATTTGGGATGGTTTAGGAAGCTGTTCGCTTTGTGATCTTTTGTTCAAATGTTTCCTGCTTGTGGCTACATTTATTAAGAAATTTCAGCACCACTGTCTTTGATGATGTTGTTAGGGAAAAGCCTTTGGTGAATAGTTTCTTTGACCCAGTCTGTTTTGTTGTGAGGATTGCATTCAATAAACTTCACTTCATTCCAGAAAGGGAGGAATCCTGTGTTATGAGCATGCTCTGAAGTGGGGAAGCTTAAGGCAGATCTGATACTCCAGTCTTCCTCTCTGATTTGATCATGAGTTCATGTAAATCTTGTGGTCTTACCAATGTCACCTTTACCAGGTTCACAAATTTATTAATTGCACAATCTAAGTTAACCAAGTCATTAGCATCTTTTGGATTTTAACTGTGATCTTACTGTGGTCCCCAAGTTGTAAACAGCAGTGTGTGTTGTTGGCAACCATAAGGTTGCTCAGACAGACCTCTGACATAGAATAAAACTGTAAAGGTTTTGAACTCAATTATAGGCTTGAATTTATTGTTCATTGTGTTTTCCTGAGGAGTTATCTGAAATAGAAAGGGATGATAACATTGATCTTTTGTAGGATCCTTTTGACATCATTGGTGCAGAACATAGATGACTTGCTTAGCCATATGCATTATTTGATCCAAAGTCTATATTAACTTGCTATAACTCATAGTTTTACTTACAAAATTGAACCAAGAGAAAAGCGTAAAAGTTAATCAAACTGGTAAATTTTCTTATGGATATCAAAATCTCACAAAGAAAGCTCCCAAATGCAGATCTAAATACAAAGCCACAACCAAGTACACCAACAGACCACAATACAAAAAATTATGAGACTTCAACCTTCTTCACATGTTGAAAAATCATTTTGTTTTTCTATAGTTTGACAACTTTGTTGAGAAGACAGTGACATGTTCTGGGGAAAGATGGAATCTTGTGACAGATGGACAGTTTCCATTAAGACATTACCTCCATTTGGAAGCTAGTAGAAAGAAAACCAAATTGTCTCAACATTTCTACAGCTTTTACGATCTTAGGAAGGAAGTCAGAAAGGCACTGAAGCATGATTCAGACTATAGAAGCCTTGAGGAAGTGGCCTCACGTATCCTTATCTTACATTTAACCCAGTGTGTTTCTGTTATAACCTTATTTGTCATTATAATATTTTTCCATGAACCAAAAAGAGGGGGGAAGGAGGGGGGGGAATAAAGTGAAAAGTTCCAAATTATCAATCCCTCTCTTCATGCCTAGGACAAGGCAGCCTTTGCCCCAACAGCTGTTCAAAGGAGTGGTGGTGGTTTGACAGTAATCTTTTAAGTTTTTAATTATAAGCAAAGGAGGCCATCTTAAAAATCCTACTTTATTTTATTCAAAGTGATTTTAATAAAGGGCGTAATTACAGGATAAATGCAGCCTAGTGAACCTTTGGAGTTGACCCTTCTGGGATCCATGTATGTAAAAAAAGGAATTAGGAAGGGCGAAACAGTAATTATCAATCAGCTTTAACTAAAGACAGCAGGCAACATAAGCTAAATGGAAAACTGTCTTATAAATGACTAAAACAAAGAAGGCTTGTTATCTTAAGGGAATAATAAGGAAGGTCAAGCCCTCTACTACAAGGAGTCATTGTGACTCATTAAGACAATTCATCATTCAAAGTGTTGTAGCGTTTACACAGGAATGCTTTCAAGCTGGTATTCCCTTTATCACTTAAAGTTGGATATTTTCAGTGTTTGTTTTAATCTGCATTTCAACTGGTGTCAAAAAATTGATATCAAGCTTAAATGGCTGTTTTCCTAGGTCAAATGAAACTGTGCAAAGACATAGTTTTTGTCAAACATTTGCATGGGTAATCGATTATTTTATGCAATTTGGAATAAATTAGCAAAAGTTAATTATCTTAAGACAAGGTAAAATGAAAGGCTGAAAATGAGAAATCATGTAAATTCTTGATACTGATTTACATTTTGTTTCAACATTCTGCACTCAATTTCAACTTTTTGCTTTGAATTTTAACTTTCTATACTGCTCTGATTAATTGAAATGCTCTCAGTCTATAAGAAAGCCATAATTTGATCAGCTCTGAAATTACATAACTTGGCCAAGTTTCCTTTACATTGATCTCAGATTGTAGAATCGATGCTAATAACAACAGTCCAGCAGGTCTGGAACACTGTAAACTCATGGCAAGTGTGGTTCAGTATCTTGTTACAGAAGGTAAGCTCACAAAATCTTTTGATTAGATGCAATAAAGTGTGTCAGTAGAAATTCTTGCTCTTATAGGAGGTTTTACATCAAAATTAAAAGTAGAGGAACCTGATTATTTCCACTTTTATTGCAATATTCTGTTGTTCTGTGAGTTTCATATTTTAGTTTTTAATTATATTGGAATGCTTGATTTAATATTTTGGGAATTTGGGTTCTAACTTAGATGAGTATTATATTTTGCCCGTAAGACTTGAAAACTATATTTTAGTACAAAGCAGAATATACTTTTTGTAATTTTAGATGTACATGCAGATTGAGAAAAATGTGTCTACTTTTAATTATTTTTAAAAAAGATTAACAATTAAAAACGGTTTGTGAGGACTAGAACATTCACGAGGTTGTAAGTTGTGGATCATCTTTAATCCCAATAATAAAAATAACTTTTCAAGCAAGAGGTAAAAAGTTATCTTGAAAATATTTGAACTGTGTCATGGAGACAAAAAAATGCCATGCACATATCAGCTAAATTTTTAGGATGCATGCAACAGTATATCTTTGTGGTCTAAGTCCATCACTTTGCAGTTAATGTTTATCCTGCTTTACTTTTGTTATCATTCCTTTTGGACTAGCAGTAAGAAAAATTTGCATCACTTTGAAAAAGAAAAATTTCACTATATTGTTGTTTAAGCCTATGGTTGGCTAAGATTGGCCCTCTCTTTTGTTTGAGAACTGAGTAATTTATTTGTCATTTAAAACACAAACCCAACCCCGCATTATTTTAAGAACTTTGGAGACAATTACCAGAATTCCTGTTCAATTTCTTCGATAAAGTTTGTCCAAACTCTTGATTTCTTCACACACATTAATTATCAGAACAATTTTGTGTCATGGTAACACTAAATAAAACAGACTTTACTTTCTCAACACATTCTCTGTACTGAAGAGAGCTATGTTCACATTATTTTAGGTCACAAATTTAAGGATCCAGAAAAGATCAGTTCCAAGTATGAGCCAGGAGCATGGTATGGTGCTTCTTTACGAACAAAAAAGTTGGTACCTCAACAACATTTTTAATCTTGCCTTTAGTAACATTTTTATAATGTCGACATATGAAACCATTCCAGTCAAATCTATTTACAATTCTGTATGGTAATATAACAGTTCATTGTGTGACTGTAATTCCTAGCAAATAACACTTTAAAAAAGAGCAGCCCCTACAAAGTCAATTATTCACAGTCTTCCCAATGTCAAGGATTTATTAATTATAGGAATTTTATGATTCAATCTTTACATTTTTAAGGACTTTCATAAACAAAATGTTAGGAAAATAATCAAAAAAGATTACTGGAGGACTATTGTAAGCAAATCTTAACAAGGTTTTTTTTTCTTTGATACATTAAAAACCTTGTGCATTATGTGAATGATATAACATGAGGCAGTTAGAAGCTATAGGTGTTAGGTTAATTGCATCTATCCACTAACATTTGGCTTGCAAACATAGCTGATTTTGTGGTTCCTTTTCTCTGCCCTCAAAATGAGGAAGAATGGGAGCTATAGTTCCATGGTACAATCACCTTAGTCAATCTTTAGGATTTTGTGTCACAATTTATTTTATCACCTGTGGTTGCAAATGTTATTTATTGAGCTTAGAGAGGCAACAGCCACAAATACCACTGTGTTTGCAAGGTAGCTCACATGGTAACTTCTATTTTTCTTTTCTATCATCTTTATTGCTGTGCAACCTTAAATTTAAAAATTATCAGAAAAGATGTTTTATATGAGGAGTGATATCCTTTTGTCAATCTTTAGAAACCTCTCACCAGAATCAGTAATGTTATTGAAATCATCTTTTACCTAGTATAAATACCAATGTGACTTAAGCTATAACACTGTTGTCCATTCATGGAGATTTATCTCTAACTGAGTTTTGAATCTAACATCAGCTAGCAATAAAATTGGCTGCCAAAAAGTTCAGAAAGTGTGTAACTTTCCATTAATAGAGGCTTAACCACTGAAAATTCTACTTACAGTCTTGGGCCTGTACTTGATGATACAATCATAAGAGCAAGGGGGCTTCCCTGGCAAGCATCTGATCAGGATGTTGCAAATTTCTTTAAAGGACTTAATATTGTAAGGTATGTGGTGTTAGCATTGAACAGGGAAAAAAACCATTGATAACCATTTCTTAGTACAATAATTCTTGATAAATCAATTAATATTTACCAAATATTCATTATTTACTTTATTGAAATTAACTCTCTAAATTTCTGAAAATGATAAGTATTGCCTTTTTTCCATGGGCACCACAAGAAATCTTGAATAAAGTGTAGAAAGAGTGATCAATAATACAAGCATGTTACTATTTCAGCATGTGAACTCACACAACCTCAACTTATCCCTATTCCTTATCTTGACAAGGAGTCAAGTTGCTCCCCGAGTTGGGAAGTTAGTTGCACTTTAAGATACACAGGCACTGTTAAAAGATAATTATGACTTAGTTTTTCTAGGAACACATTCTGCAACCAGATGTAAAATTGATTTCTTGGAGTGTTTTTGTTGTTGATAGAGGTGGGATAGCATTTTGTTTAAATGCACAAGGAAGAAGAAATGGTGAAGCATTCATCAGGTTTGAGAAAGGGGAACACAGAGAATTTGCATTGAAAAGACACAAACATCACCTTGGTACAAGATACATTGAGGTGAGAGGTGACAGACATGAATTGTTTCCTTTACATCCTTCTTGTGTTTACATAATTTTAAAAAAACATGCTCATTGACCTTGCTTAAAGAGACCACACATTTATATAAACTTGGAATCTTCCTTGGGGATTGATTTTGGACTTATTTCACAACACCATTAGTTCATGGTAAATAAAGTACAGAAGATCAAGCAAAATAAAGCATTGAGAAAAAATTTGAAAATTTTCAGTATATTTGAATAACAAATAATTTTGAAATCTGACTCACAAGATTGAAGGAGTATTTCCTAATACACAAACCAAACAGTAAAATACATCAAACTTGTGAGCCATCCTGTTTTAACTTGATCTTTATCAATGTCAATGTCATTGCATTGGTTCATGTAATTGGGCCCCTTTTTATACCTTATTTTTCTGTTTCACTCTTTGGAAGAGCATATTTTAACTAAGATTTTTATTCAGGTTTACAGAGCAACTGCACAAGATTTCCTTAAGATAGTGAAAGGTAATCTACTTTCATATAACCTTTCAATACCAGATTACTCAAATTGAAATATAATTCATATTGTGATTGGGGCTACACTAAGTTGAACAACCAAAATTCTTGTAAAATGCCCAGAAACTGCTTACCAATATATATCGAGAATAATGGAGGTAAGCCTTGACAGACTAGCACCCTATCCCAGTAAAATTAAAATGTTCCTAGTCACTTCATGCTACAGAAATAGGGATGCAGTCAGGTGTTGATTGAGCCATAAGGATTAGGAGCAGATTTTACCTTTTTCACCACCTTTTTCAAAAATATTTTGGAGTACATAAAAAGCTTTTAATTCAGGGCTATTCTACTCATTCTGTTGAAAGGTTATATTTTACCAATTTCCTTGTTTTGTTTATTCCCATTAACTGACTTATTTATACATATAGGTCCTGTTGATGTCACCCAGATTGCTGCTAACTTTGTATCAAACAAAGCTGAGGTGATCATTAGAATGAGAGGACTTCCATTCAACTCAAAAGAGAGTGATGTGGTGAGTGTTCAGGAGTGAATTATTGACATCTGATACATGTAGTCTCACTTTCTTGTATGTGTTATGACTATGTATTGATATATTTTGCATTTCTTTTTCCTATTTTTTCCCTTGTGTAGATTGAATTTTTTGAGGAGGATGCACCAGTATTCAAAAGTGATGAAGGAATTCTCATTGTTAGGAACAACTTTGGGAAGGCTACTGGAGATGCATTTGTTCTTTTTGAGACAGAGGAACATGGCCATGCAGCATTGAGGAAGCACAGATGCATGCTTGGCTCCCGTTATGTTGAGCTGTTCCGAAGTTCACAAAGTGAGGTTCAGCAAGTTCTAAACTCTTACAGCAATCTCATGCACAATTTTCCACCAATCATGTTTCCACCCTTGCCACATCATCCTCCCTTTCACCCTCCCTTCTTAATTCCTGGGCTGGGTGTAAATGGTATGAACACCAAAGACTGTCTGCGCTTACGAGGGTTGCCGTTCTCTGCAACAGTACAAGATGTATTAGACTTCCTAAAGGAACATGCTGCATTTGTAGTTCCTGGTGGAGTTCACATGGTGTACAACACTCAGGTGAGATGGGTTGTGTAATGCTTTAAAAAGAAATTAGTCTCATTTTCTGATTACTGTAGTTGCGGAAACAAGTAGCTGTCAAAAGTCTTTTTCTATCTTACATATCAAGAGCTGGTGAAGCAGATTCAAAACTGCTTTTTTAGAAACTTCATTAATATTCCCTACCCTTGTTCCTCTTCTCCATGGCTCCTCCATAGTTATCCCTCTAATCTTCAGAAATGAGAATAAATTCTTGTAGTGAGGGGCTTGAGCACAAGTAAAAATTTCACCTCTCAGTATGACTGGTAAATTTTCTGTTATGATTATTTAAAGGGTCGCCCCTCTGGAGATGCATATGTCCAGTTAGTATCACCTGAATGTGCAAAATCTGCCACCACGGACTTGCACAGACAACACATGGGAGAGCGATACATTGAAGTGTTTCCCTGCTCAGGAGTAGATATTGCTGCAATTATAACCAGCAGTACAATGAACCAAAACAAGATGACCTCACCCAATAACACTCCCTACAGCCATCCATGTTCATACCCCATGACCAATGGTGTGGTCACCAGCCCTAATGGGACACATATGAATGGACACACAGACACTGTTGGAGCTGCTACATCAGCTTGTCGCAGTCCCACAGGATTGTATGTACCTCATTCACCCACATACTTCAACTGCATTATACCTCAAAATGGCATTGGTGGAGGGAATGTGAGTTATTATCCACCTGCCAGTGCAAATTTTAGGATGCGCATGTCACCATATTTGCCACAGCCCTATGAAGTGATGCCTCTCTTTCAAGGATACCAGGTAGACTAGGCTTTAATTTTGATTACTATCATTTTTTCAACATTAAGTTTGTTAAAGTAAGTCATTATTGAGTGAGAATGGTTTCCTGAGTCTTGTGTGGTTGTTTTGGTTCTGGATCTACCTTGGGTTAGGTCTGTATATCTAGTGAAAATCTGTTTGCAAAATTTACTTTACCAAAACAATATCCTATGCCAGCCAACATGTCTAGAATCAGAGCCAACAGATTTTTTGTTAAAGAACAGATAAAATCAAAAGATGTCAAATAACATCCCCAAATCTTTAGAAGACATTTGGAAGACTTCTGAGACTACCCCTCTCCTTAGCTGTGGAGTAGCACTGGAAAGGGGTTTTTGGAAAGGATAATCATATACCAAAACTTTTCTCTTCTTGGACTGGTATGAGCCTTTTTACCCCATTTATTTTCTGGAAAATGTGGTTTTTTTTTAACCCTTTGACCCTGAGAGTGACTAGCATCAAATTTCTCCTTTCAATAACACCCCTGAATCACACATTAAGGTCATGAGAATAAAGGAAATGATCACCAACTAAAAAAGCTCTTAACTGTTCAACAAATTCTCCCTGTCAGCACCTTAGGAAATGTATGGAGAACAGTATGGAAAATATGTATGCCGATGTAAGGCTGTGAAGGGTTAAGTTTTAAGAGTAAGAAACTGATCAGCAGACTGGGGCTGAGAAAACTTTCTCCTGCAAAAGAGATAATCCTGCTCAGGGTGTGGGGGTTGGCAGGTGTGTTGTTACCTAAGCTTCTTTGGTAACAGCAATAGTTTTGAACAGAGACTAATAATACCCTTAACTGAACATCTTTCATTCATAGATCGCAGACTATGGCAGGTAGTTCAAGCAGATCACCTCTCTGGGATCCTGCACAAAATCAAAGCAATCCTTAATAGAAAAGACTGGTCCTGCTATATGAAATGCTACTTGCAAAAGATTAAATTAGAGACAAGTTCTCAGAGCGAAACAGCTTTTGCTGCTGCTACTACTGCTGCTGAAGCATTTGCAATGTTTTTAGATGCCTTCCTCTTAGTCAACAAGAAAAAAAAGTATGACTTTATCATTCAGTACATTTGAGTGAAGAATCCATAATTATTTTAGATGTAATGTACATGTAATTATGCTGCTAACATTCAAAACTGATACATTGAGTGAAATTCAGTATAAGAATGTTCTAGACATTTTTGATGTGTCACCCTGAAAGACAGTGGTAGAAATTTTCATTCGACTATGTGACCTGTGTACTACTTATTAACAATCAGAATCAGATGACTTGATAAACACGAGTCAAATCTTCTAAGAAACTTAGTTCAAAGGTCTGTTACTTAAACGGTAACACCAAAAATAAACAGAGATAAAAAAAAATTATGTAGTTCATAAAAATGCAAGCAAAAATTTGTCAAGGAGAAGTAGATGCCTTCAAAATTTTTATCATCAGATTTGATGAAAAAGGATAATTTCTGACACCAGGTAGTTTTTAAATAAGCCCAGCGTTTAATTGCTGCAACATGGATTTCGTGCGAAGATACCTTGACAAATAGGAAAAAAAAATACAAAGGAGAAAACATACAATACTAATTGAATTATGAGAGTGATATTGTATAATTACAATGAATTGTAGAAATATGTTCAGATACAAATTTTATTTATTTTTTGCTGGATACCCAGACTCCAGCTCAAAATACAATCTTTTTAGCCTCGATACATGGGAGATAATACTCCTTAACCTCTGATGCACACAAAATCCCAACATCAGTGGTAAACAGTGCAATATCTTTTTGCATTGTGTAATGATTCTGACAAAATGGTTAATGCATCAAGTCACTGAAAGATGTCAGAAGAATTAAACACTGAGGCAGAAAGGCTTATTTGGCTGTCAGTGAAATGCTGTAAATTAGAGCATGATGTACCCTGACTGTACATTAATGTAATTAGTATCAATTTATGCTTGATAGATAATCTTGTTTAATTTAGTTTTTAGAACTTTTTATACTAGTAACCAGTCTTAGTCAATGAAACATGAATTTGCCATGGGCTTGTTGTACATTGTAATTGAAAAGTTTGATTGACTGAATATTTATGTTAATTCCACAATCTAACTTGTGGAGGACTTTAACCATTCACACTTTGAAACAAATGTTCAAAATCTTCAACATGAGCTGAAAGTTTGTTTCAGAACAAGATGGTAGATATCATCATTGTTTTAATGTATTGAAATTTGATTATTAGTATGTATTTGTCATAGTAACCGTCCAATCAAGTGTGTATTTTCAGGAAAAATCATAATTTAGTTCTCAGCGCTTAAAATGTAAATGGTTGAATCCTATAATTAACATCAGTTGAAAGTGGATAGTGTTATAATCGGTGATGACAAAGGGCAAAGTTGCTGGTTAAAATTAATCATTCTGATACAAGGCTGGATCAAATTTGCAAACCAATTTTTTCAACATTTATTTGTCTCTAAACGTGCAATATTTATGGGCATAGTGTTCAAAACTAGCCATATTGTTTTTATTTACATGACAACTAATTATGTATGACAAATAATTGTTAATAGCCAGTCAATGCAAGAGACGCTGCTCTAAAAAGAGTCTTACAACCAGTACTTGTCACTCAGAGCACATCTAAAAATATATGAATTACAAATAAAAATATTATTTTAACCAAGAGAAGCTTAACTAAGCCAGGATAGACCACTTAATAAATGACATTTATAACACATAAGGCAAAGCCAGAGCATAATTAAATTATCACCATTAATAAAGTTGCTCTAATTATATTTTCCGAATGTGTTAGTGGTATGTGTGAATACATGCCACTGTCGGTAAAATTATTTCTTGAATGTTTATGAATTGTCATCATGTTGTTACCAAGAATATCTCATTTATCTGGACAATCTGGACTTGTTAGACAGTGAAATATGCCATAACTTGAAAACGTTTCTGATCCATTTACCTTATTTATCCTTGATAGAACAAGAATTGTTTATGGCAGTGCCATGAATAAGTGCAAGGCACTAATGCTCATTATAACAATCTTTGTCTTGTTTTTTTTTTAGACCGGTTATTCTTAATGTGATATTTTTGGTAACAGAGAGACTAAAATACAGATAATTATTTTAGCTATATTTTTAAACATACTAAAATAAATAGCCGTACTCCAGTGTAAAATAGAAGAAAACTTGTTGGTGTTTTTCTTACAGATACAGTCATTGCAGTCACACATCTTTTCATGTTCTTTTTTCTATGTATGATTTTTACCTTAATAAAAAACATGCATAGCTCAGTAAATTGTACTTGTAACCTGGAAATGACTGTACTTTCTTGAAAATAAAAAAGTGAATCTTGTTACATGGCAAGATTCTGATTTGAAATGATTTTTCTCAGTGTAGCAATATGGAAAATCCTTTGTTTGTGTGTTGTTGAGCCCAATGGTAGGAGGTAATGTCCTAGTCAGGGATCTAAAAAGAATTTCTCAGAAGTGGGTTCTTTACACTAGTGTTTTACCATCATGAATGGGTCCCCAGTTAGTTTTCTTATTCTGAAATTTAACTTTTACCATTGATAGAGAAAGTAATTGAAGTGAACCTCAACACACCCCCCCCCCCTTCCCTTTTTTAACCCCTTCTTTTAGCCAAGCCCTTAGAGGTGATCAATGCATCAGATTCAAAGCCTAGAAAAAGACATAGAGTTTGAGTCACCACTGGCAGATTGGATTCATGGTAGTTCTAAGTACTACTTTGGCAGCTTGAAGATAGCTTTATAGATCCATTAATGGAACGATGAAACACTGCCACTAAATGTATACAAACACTTGGAGAGACTAATTAAAGTCTGTCTCTGTCTGTGTCAGCCTTCTATACAGACTTCCTAAGGCTTGTCATGCAATCATTCCTCCCCAAGAAGATCATTGGGTTATGAGCCTAATAATGTTAGCATAAAAGGCTATTTTTGGGTCAATATGTGAGTGACATGTACCTGTAATTCTCTTTTCTGTAAGAGGCCATTTTACAGTTGTGTACTTAGTTGCCAAGCCTTTGATCTGGATGGAGAGAGGCTGATGTTGACCATGTTGTGATA